AAGAAGCCTGCCACGGCCATACAGTTTGTAAGCAATATAAGTCTCTGTGTTTACTTGGTTGGGTCTGAGCAGCTGTGGGACTGGCGAGTGATAGATTTGTCCTGACTGTGGGCAAGGCAGGAAAACTCCAGCTACACCTTGGCATTCCTTTAAAAGCCCTTTGGCAGAGACTCTCAGGGCCTGGTGGATGAGGATCTAGGCCCTCCTGAGTCCATCCTGTGTTTTCTGTCTGTCTCTGTCTAGTTATATTTCTATCTAATATTTCCTGCTGCTCCTGCTGAAGAGTACCCTGTGGAAAAGTGGGGGTGAGATGGCCCCCACACTGTGCCAGCTCCCCAGCCACAGAAGAAATGATTTTTTTCATTATAAATGTGTTCCAACTGTTTGGGCACCCAATGTACTTTTGTGTTTCTGACTCTCAACCCTGAGTCTGCACAGGGCTACTGCTTTCTTTTGGTTACAAATCATAGGGAACATAGTCATGGGCTCCACTCAACTTCCCTTCTTGTTTCTCTGCAGACAAAAACAACCCCTGTGAGGACTTCATCTGTAACTGTGACCACCAGGCTGCCATCTGCTTCTACAACACTCCATACACCAAGCATTACAAAAGCATTCAGTGTTCGACTTGTCGCCTCAGTGACTGGCACACCTTCCCTGCCTGCCTGGTTCTGTTCACTACACACTGTGCTCTCTGTAAAGCACCCATGGAGAGAACTCGGGTTTGCTAATTTGATTCTCTGTCCACCTGCTGGGAATCAGCCTCAGCCGGTTCCAGGGTCTTAAAGGGCAGGGATGTCTGGCAGGTGCAAGACAAGCCTGGGACATACAAGTTGGTGCAGTCTGACAAGTCTCATCTGATCTGGAGATTTGTGCATCTTCTCCACTTTCTCTTGATCTGACTCAACCCCAGTCTTTTATTGTAATAATACAAGGAAATAGGGGATGATAAAATTCAACAGATGTTTGGGTTCTTTACAATAGTTTCAAAAGTTCTTTTTGTAAATCAGCAAAGTGAACCCTGTGCCCCTTGATTGCACATAGAAGTTCCCAGGAAGAGAGCCAAAGCATACCAGCTTATCCTTTTACAGGTTAATAATTATCAGAACATCTGAGGCAATAACCCCAGAGGCCATCTACTTGCAGTGTCTCAGAAAGAACAGAAATACAAGCAATGGTTTGAGGTACCAGACTGTCAGCTTCCTCTCAGCCTAAGTCCTTCTTCATCAGTCTGTAATTCATCAAGTTGTCTTCTAACTAGTTCTGGGTAACTCTTGTCTTCTATCCTATCTAAATGTCACTCCATCTACAGTTTTCTCCCACCAGCCTTCGGGGTTTTCCCATGACCTGCCTAACAGCTTTAACTCCTGCCATTGTCACAATCTCAGAATCATTTCATAGAAACCACCGCAGGAGAGAGGAAGAAAATCATAGAGAGCAAATAGAGTAGGAAACCAAACTGGACAGAGAGTAAATGACCTGAATGCAGGATCACATCCTGTTGACCTTCCAGTCCTCACTGTTCCTAAACACACACCACAGGATAGTTGTCCCTCTAAAGTACACAGCAGGATAACTTTTTAAACAAACAAAATAGAACACATCATCTTCTCTAACTTTCTCTATCATGGGACCCCATAGGTAAAGTCAGGTTAATCTCTGGTTTTCTGGTCAACCAGATTTAGGAAAAAGATTTCTCATTGGTTAAAGGCTGTGTGGTCTCGGTCTCTCTTTTCCTTTAGTGGACAGCTGCCCAGTCCTCTGCCCTTCCACCCCTAACCCCATCTGCACTCATGTCCAAAGGTCAGGCCTGACCCCTCACAAGGTCAGTTCTGGTGAGCAATAGGTGCAGCTAGAGCCACCTGGGCAGGTCCAGTGACCTGTCGTAGCTGGTAGAGACTGTCCAGAGTCCTGCTGGAGGGATCAGAGATCTTGAGCAAGGAGACAAGCAACTCAAATCATCACCTAGTGGTTGTTATCCAGGTAAGAGTTCAGAAGTGTGGAAAAGGAGGTGCTGGGGTGCTAAGTTACAGGGTACATGACAGATGGTCAAATGCAGAGGCCAGAGGGCATTGGGCCAGGAGACACTGTTCACCAGCCACCATGTAGTTGCTGAGAACTGAACTTCTGTCCTCAAGAAGAGCAGAAAGTGGAGCCATCTGTCCAGCCCCTGCAATGATTGGTTGTTAGCTTCACACATTGGGTCGGGTGTGGGGCATTTACCCACCAAGCCCACCGTTCCCCAGAGTTTTCTTGAGTGTGAGCAGCAGGAAATATTAGATAGAAGGATTTAGATTGCAGAGATAAACAGATAGAAAATAAAGGATAGCCTCGAGAGGGCGTGGAACCTTTTCAACGGGCCCTGCCTGTCTCTGCTTCAGGGTATTTATAGAGACGCCAAGGGGTGGAGCAAAAGACTTTCCCCCAGCACTGCCAAGTGCAGACCATTTCAGAAACCTGCACTCAGGCTGGTGGTCCTAATCATCCTCTATGAGGACCTGCTGGGTAAAACCACAAGGAACCTGAAAACGGGCTCCCACAGTCAGGGCAGCCTCAGCTGAAGGATTGCCTGCATCATATTGGCCTGCAGGCAAATCTGTTGGGCATTTTCTTTCTTTCTTTTCATTTTTTAGATTTTAGTTTCTGGTTCTTTAAGACAGAGTTTCTTAGTCTATCTATGGCTGTCCTGGAACTCAGTCTGTAGACCAGGCTGGCCTCAAAATCAGGTATTCCCTGCCTCGCCTCCTGAGTGCTGAATTAAAGGTGTGCACCACCACCACCATCTGCTACATTCCTAGTTCTTAAATGGAGTTTGAAGGCTGGTAAGATGCAGCGTATGATGCAAGCACTTATACATGAGTTTGATTCCTTAAAGGTAGAAGGAGAGACCTGACTCCATAGAGTTGTCCCCTGCCCTCCAGATATGATCACATGGGCTTTCTCTCTGTCTCTCTCTGTCTCTGTCTCTGTCTCTCTCTGTCTCTCTGTCTCTCTCTCTCTCCTGTCTGTATGTCTTCCTATCTTGTTCTCTCTCACCCACCAACCCACCCCCAGACACAAACCCACACATTAATTAATTAGTTAATTAATTAAAGATTGAATTTGTAACTGGATCTATCTCAAAGGCTGTGTCATGTTCTTGGGACAGACTTTGCACTTAGTTTATACAGTTAACATGGAGGACTGTTGGGTCCAGGTACTCCTCCCAGGGGCCACACATCACTATCAGCATCCCTCAAACCTGACTCCAGGAGCAATGTATATGTCTTCTTATGACCTCAAAGCACCCATGGGGGAGGGACTTGGACCTTTGCCAGTCACTGCACTTGACTTGGTTGGGGTGTTGAGCTAGCTCTTTCTCTGTCTCTGCGACAGTACTGATTCAGGCTTTGTCACCATCTACAGTAGATCTACAGGTCGGGACTGTGTGTGAGGGTGCACATATTCTACTTCTGTGCTACACACACAGGCCCCGTGTGCTGACTGGACACTGTCAGAGCACAGCTACAGGACTATAAAGAGAGAAGTCACTGAGTCCTCCTCTCACTCAGGATGAAACTCCTTCTGCTGGTTTCTCTGCTCACAGGTAGGACCCTTGTCCCCTCCGAGTGCCCCCATCTCTCTTGTCTTCAATGCCCAGCCTCACTGGTCATGCCTCAAGTTCTGGTTTGGGGTTCCTGTTGGGGACTAGCAGCCTGTGGGTTGGAGTTCCATGCTCACCCCATGTCCACAACAGCTGGCACCTTTACCCTCTACGTCTGAACTCAGACAATCCCTTGGGAAAGTCCACTACATTCACCTACCCAAGCAAAGAAATCCCCTTCTGCCTCTGCCATAAGCCAGGGGACCCATTTCCCGGGAACTTAGGTGCCCTGTAAATTGGATTTTCTTGTACTTTAAAAAATATTTAATTTTATTTTATGTGCTTGAGTGTTTTGCCTGCAGGTTTATCTGTGAACTGGGTGTGAGCAGTGTCTACAGAGGCAAGAGGAGGGGTCTGATCCTCAGAACTAGGGTCATAGACAGTAGTGAGCTGCCATGTGGGTGCTGGAACCGAGCCTGGGTCCTATGCAAGTGCAGCAAGTGCTCCTGACTGCAGAGCCATCTCTCCAGCCCTGATGATTATTTTATTTCCCTGATCTTATGATGTGGCACAGGATGTTCTCCAACTCAACATTATGTCCATACTTGAAAGCTTTCTGCCTCACCTTCCAAGTGTTAGGATTGCATACATGCCACACTTGCTTCCACAACTTTTTTTTTTCATGTTTTTCTAAACATGGTTCTCATAGTAACCATGGCTGTCCTGGAACACACTCTATAGATCAGGCTGGCTATGATCGCAGATACCCATCTGCCTCTAGCTCCAGAGTGCTGGGATTAAAGTCCTCTGACACTGTACTCTGGTAATCTGAAACTTCTTATCCACCTGCCTCAGCCTCCAGAGAGCTGGGATTACACAGTGTGTGTTCCACTCTACCTGGCGTCTTCTGCATTTTAACGATGACCAAGTATCCCACTGCAGACTGAATCCTGACTTATTTACCTACTCCTCAGGTGATGAACAGTTTGTTGTGTCAAATGATGGCATTTTAATGATGATCTGACCTTTAACCTTTTATATGAGCTGTGCAAGGCCATACAACAGATTCCTTCTCATTCTTCCAGTGTAAAACAATGAGCATGTGTTGGCTGCTTCTCTGGCTCAAGGTCTGAGCTAGAACTGTGATGAATCCCACTGCTGGCTAAGGCTAGGGTTTCACCTAGTCTTGAGTAGGGGTGGGGCAGCTTTCAAACTCAAGAGACGGTTGGATTGTTGGGTTATTGAACTAAGAGGTCAGTTTGTCCCTGGCTGCTGACTGAAGTGTGTTCTCAGCTCCTCAACACAAAAACCACAGGGCAGCTAACAGTGTGGCAGCTGTCTTTCCTGACAGTGAGAAATGAGAAAGAAGAAAGGCAAAAGGCAATGTCTATAGACCTTAGTCCTGGGGACTCAGCCCCGCCGGCTGGTACAGTGGAGTACATTTATAATCCTACCACTGGGGAGGCTGAGGCCAGAGGGTTGCCACAGAGTTGGAGGCCAGACTGGGTTACCAGGCAACTCTCTGTTTCAAACAAGTAGACACCTTTCTCTAAGGCCTGGTG